CCCCCTGTGCATACGGTGACAGAGTCTAAACGCCATCCAGGGCCACGACATGAGACGGGACGTGTGAAATCATAATGCGACCAACCAAGAACATACCATCACCGTGAGCGTCGGCACGAGGCACTTGCGTCACTTGGCTCTTCAGCCGCCATCGTCGCCACAATGCCGTGGTAATAGGCAATCGCACACAAAACACCGCAAACGCCTATGACCAGCTTTGCCACACCTTGTGACGTGATCGCGCGCATCCGGAATGATACCATACCAGAGACAGCGCGTACTTGTTGGTCACCAACATCCGAACATATCCATGCACGTGTTCCCTCAGTGCCATGCTCGGGGTGGGCGCTGGTGTCACATCGATCATAGGTCAGGCGACCACTGGCCGCCGGCGCCGGGGCGCGACCCTCAGCAAGCCGGTGGGGAAGGGGGGGGGGTCACGGGCACCAGACGGCGCTGCGCCTGCAGCGGCGGCCGTCAGAATGCGCAGGCACGTGGCGCCTGCGGAATTCCCCAACACGCGGAAGTAGCGAGCCGCGCCACAACTGCGGCGGCGGCGCCAAAGCGGGCGTGCCTGCGCGCCGGCGCGGGCGGGGTCGCGCGGTATCGGGCGTCACGCCCCGCGCGCGCCGCTCCTCTCACGGCGCCGCGGCCCGGCCGGCCGACCGCATACCCCGAGCGCCGGTCACACCGGCTATCGGGTGATCGACGGGCGACGCCGGCCGCCTGCTCTGATGCTCGCTCCGGAGCGCGTGGCACGCGCGCCGTAGTGACGTGCCGCGAGGGAGCACGGCCGACAGACCATCACGGAGCGGCGCGGGTGCGGGCGCGGGGGCGGGCTCGGCCGCTGGGGGCGGACTCGGCCGGTCCGCTCCCGCCCGCCGCTGTGACGACGGGCGATGACGGACAGCCGTCCGGCCTCGCCAGGACTGCACGCGGAGGCTGACCATCTCATCGGGCAGGTGCCGCAGCCCTCGCGGCAGAAAAGGCCGCGCCGGCGACCGGGACTCGGCGACGATCCACCGTGCAGTGCGCAGAACGCGGCCCGTGCGACTCCTGCCTGTCCCCGTGCCGATGCACCGGTCGCCGCACTTCGCGACATTTGTGCAAAAGCGTGCAGACGACCGAGCACAGCTGCTGCACGAGCGTCGGGAATGCGGCAGTTGTCGCCACACGCGCGCCTCACAAGTGCGACCGAGCCCATAAACAGGGCAGCGGAGCGACCCAGGGCCGCGCCACCCCACCCACCGACAGCCGTGCATCGGCAGCCCAAGGAAAATACCGAAACTGCACACGTCAACGAGCCATCAGGGCCTCGCCAGCCGTGAGCCGAAAACTCGGCCTGCCAATGCAGCCAGGGCGGCGCCGGCACTGCGCGGCGGCCGTCGGCCACTGACAGCTGCGGGCCGCTGCAAACCGTCGCCGGCGCCGCCGCGTCAGCAGGCGGGGCCGACCGTCCCTGGAGCCGGCGGCCGACGGACCGTCCACTGGAGCCGGCGGCGACGGACCG